ATCAAAAACCCTTAGGTCTTCCAAAGCCTCAAGCTTCGCTCTACCCAATATCGGTTTCCTCTCGTCTTGTTCCAAGTCTCTGAGGTCTTTAACCGCTACCGTCGCTGGAAATGGTGTCGGTTCCGGCACCGGATCTTCTCTTTCCGCTCGTATGGTTGCGTCGTCTGCGGTCAGAACACCTGTTTCTCTCGATTTCGAGACATCTGTATTCAAAAAGGAGAAAGTGTCTCTTGCTGGTTACGATGAGGTCTTTTTTTATTCATTTCTTATTCGGTGGTTTTAATAAAGTTTTGGTAATTTTGGGTTTATCAATTTACATGTGGCTGATTTATTCCGTGATTGTTGCTAATGTTATTGTTTTTTTTGCTGAATCTTTTGTTTAGTATATTGTGAGAGGAGGAAGAGATTTGTTCAAACATCTTCCAGATGCTTTCAAAGGGATTAAGCAGATTGGTGTTATTGGCTGGGGATCTCAGGTAGTTCTTTGTTTCTTTGGTATGTTATTTTATTTGTGCTTTCCTTGATCAACGTGTTTCTTGTTTGGGTGATTTTTAAATTTTTTTGCTTTAAGTTGTGAATTCATTGCTTTGAGAAGCAAAGCTTACATATTCTGAGGGTTTTGTTTTGCTAATTAGTGTTTATGCACTTCTTGTTTACTTTGCATTGTGTAGATAATAATCTTGAATATGTCATGTGAATAAAATTGGCCATTTAATAAGTTCATTTTCTTGCTTTTGATGTATTTGAGTTTGAATGAACAAGATGGATAGATTAGTTGCATGTTCTTTCTAGTACTGAATTACATGTTTATGTGCAGGGACCTGCTCAAGCTCAGAATTTAAGGGATTCACTTGTGGAGGCAAAGTCTGACATTGTTGTTAAGGTATCTCAACTGATTTTGTGTTTGCTTCATACTTTTGTATATATTAGCTTTATCTTTGCTTTCTGTCGTTACGTAAGCGCTATGTCCTGACTTGGTTTCTGTTTTTCTTTTCTGTGATAATGTAGATTGGGCTTAGAAAGGGCTCTCGTTCATTTGAGGAGGCACGTGCTGTTGGATTCACAGAAGAAAGTGGTACTTTGGGTGATATTTGGGAAACAATCTCTGGCAGTGATCTTGTATTGCTTTTGATCTCTGATGCTGCTCAGGTAATTTGCATTTCAGAATCTTGATTATCTTGAAGTTTTGCTCTGTAGGTATATATACATTGATTTTAATGTATCGTCCTTTTTACAGGCTGATAACTATGAGAAAATATTCTCTTACATGAAGCCAAACAGCATTCTCGGTTTGTCTCACGGGTTTCTACTAGGGCATTTACAGTCCATGGGACTCGATTTCCCAAAAAACATCAGTGTGGTAGCTGTTTGCCCTAAGGGAATGGGTCCATCTGTGAGAAGGCTTTACGTCCAAGGAAAAGAAATCAACGGTGCTGGAATCAACGCCAGTTTTGCAGTCCACCAGGTTTTCTACCTGTCTCTATAGTGAAAATTATTATATCTCATGTATTCATTTTTTCACCATTTATGCGATTTCTGTTTGTAGGATGTTGATGGCAGAGCCGCAGATGTTGCTCTGGGATGGTCAGTAGCACTTGGTTCTCCTTTTACTTTTGCTACTACTCTTGAGCAAGAGTACAAGAGTGACATCTTTGGAGAAAGAGGTGAGTTGGACCTCACTTATAGAACTGTCTTTCTATCGCTCAATCCCATGTTTAAATGTTAAAACCCGTCTTCTTCGTTTTTGTTAACAGGCATTTTGCTTGGTGCTGTTCATGGAATTGTTGAGTCTCTGTTTAGAAGGTACACTGAAAATGGAATGAGTGAAGAATTGGCTTACAAGAACACAGTAGAGTGCATCACAGGAACAATTTCAAGGACTATCTCTACCCAGGTTAGTAGGAATCTGTCTGCATAGACCACAGTTATTCGTTTTTGGCCAAATAAAAATTGAATATTCGAAATCTTTCTCTGATGAATTATGGAATTCAGGGAATGTTGGCTGTGTACAACTCCTTATCTGAAGAAGGTAAAAAGGACTTTGAGACTGCATACAGTGCATCCTTCTATCCTTGTATGGAGATTCTCTATGAATGTTATGAGGATGTAGCTGCTGGCAGCGAAATCCGTAGTGTTGTCTTAGCCGGTCGTCGTTTCTATGTAATGACTCTTCAAACTTTTCTTTGTTACATTTTCCCAAACACAGTTTTTGTAGTCGTTTTTGATTGATTTTCTTGCTTGTAACA